GAATAACCTCACATTTTCCCACATTTATTTCAGTTGCCAAATTTTTGTTTGCTAACCTACCGTACATGCATTCCTTTGCAGACTCTTTGTATCCTCTTTGCAATTGATTTGCCACTTTGTCTCATCAGCAAATTTGGCTGTGATACATTCAGTTTCTTTATTAAAGTAATTGATATGGATTGTAAATAATTGAAGGTGTAGCTGGTGACAGTCTGCCAACCTGAAAATGACCCGTTCTTCCAGACTCTACTTCCTGTTAAGTTAGTCAGTCCTCTATCTCCGCAAATATGTGACCACAAAAACCATGAGCTCTTATTTGTACAGTAAACTTTTATTGGTATTTTACTGAATGCCTTCAGAAATCCAAATAAACTATGTATGGAATCTTACAGGAGCCTGAACGATGAGGAGAATGATGAAATTTGTGGCACAATTGCATGAGAAATCTGGCAAGGCTGATCTCAACGTCAGGGGCAACTTGCTGCTGCTTCTTTGCATTTGCCGAGCAGCAAGACCAGTTTTTCACCAGGCAGCAGCGAATTGCCAATTAAGGAGGATTATTGCTTGTTGCATGCTTTGCTAATGACACAACTCACCTCATTAATCTTCAGCTTTCTGTCCTACCACCTGCCACAAGCAAGCTAAACACTGAGAATTCTCAACATGGGAGTCAGAGAGGGTGCCTGGTGATTTCAGGTTGCTGTTGGCTGTGAAGAACCTCCATGTTGGTCACCACACAACAGCATCTCAGGCTACGATCCATGGGCACAAGACACATGCACCCCTCATTCACAGACACTGTCATTGACATCCGCCATTTGCTACTCGGCTCAAGATCCTCGTGGCGTCTCCCCGATCCACTCACAGGACACGACTAAAGCACAGGGCTGCAATGATAGAGCGTATTGACAGCTAGTTTTGAAATGCTGCTGAAGAACACTTCACCCACAGGGTCAGACCCACAGCTCACACCATGGTCCTGGCTGCATCTCAGAGGGGGGGGGCTTCACATAGCAGGAAGGATGCCCTAGAACACATTCATGGGTGCTGGGGGTGAGGAGAGATGACAGTTTTGCAGTGGGGAAACTGTATTGTAAGGTGTTGGACACTGTAAAGCATGGACAGAAACAGGGTAATGCAGAAGAGGGTTTTATCCAAGATGAGGAGCACCCTGGCTTTGGGTGGGAGTGTCAGTGCATGACCACACCTGGCATGGTCAGCTCATATAACAGGGGACTGTGGTGATGGAGAGGGGTAAGGTGGGCATGTGCAGGCTCATGAGTTGGATTGGGTGGGGGTCTGGATAGGTGAGAAGTCTTTGGGGTTCATAGAATGGGCTATGGGGAAGGGAGTCCAGATGTTTGGGGCCTCACCAACAAGTGTGAGATCATAGAGTCATAGAATCATACAGCTTAAAAACAGGCTCTTAGGGCCACTATGTCTATGCTGACCAACAACCACCAAACTGCACTAAGCCCATTTACCTGCATTTGGTCCATAGCATACTGTGCTCCAGTATTTTAAATGCTAATCCAGATGCTTCTTAAATGTTGTGAGATTATCTGCCTCAGGCAGCGCATTCCATATTTCTACCACCTTTTGGGTGAATTCTTCTTTTCTCAGATCTCATCTAAACCACTTACAAGGATCTGTTCTGGGTCCTCTCCTATTTGTGATTTTTGTAAATGATTTGGATGAAGGAGTGGAAGGGTGGATTAACAAGTTCGCAGACGATACGAAGGTGGGTCGCGTTGTGGACAGTGCAGACGGCTGTTCTAGGTTACAGAGAGACACTGATAGGATGCAGAGCTGGGCTGAGAAGTGGCAGATGGAGTTTAACCCTGAAAAGTGTGAGGTGATTCATTTTGGAAGGACAAACTTGAAAGCAGAATACAGGGTTAACGGAAAGATTCTTGGCAGTGTGGAGGAGCACAGGGATCTTGGGGTTCATGTCCACAGTTCCCTGAAAGCTGCCACCCAGGTGGATAGAGTTGTTAAGAAGGCGTATGGTGTGTTAGCTTTCATTAATAGAGGGATCGAGTTCAAGAGCCGTGAAGTTATGCTCCAGCTACACAAAAGCCTAGTTCGGCCACATCTGGAGTATTGTGTCCAGTTCTGGTCACCTCATTACAGGAAAGATGTGGAAGCATTGGAAAAGGTGCAGAGGAGATTCACCAGGATGTTGCCTGGAATGGAGGGAAGGTCTTACGAGGAAAGGTTGAGAGAGCTAGGGCTTTTTTCTTTAGAACAACGAAGGATGAGAGGAGACTTGATAGAGGTGTACAAAATGATCAGAGGTATAGATAGAGTGGACAGCCAGGGACTTTTTTCTAGGGTGGAGGTAGCTATTACGAGGGGGCATAGTTTTAAAGTGAGTGGAGGTAGATATAGGGGAGACATCAGAGGTTCTTTACTCAGAGGGTGGTCGGGGTGTGGAATGCATTGCCGGAGACGATAGTGGAGTCGGCCTCGTTAGAGTCATTTAAGCAGCTATTAGATAGGCATATGGATGATAGTATAAGGTAGGGGTGAAGGTTAGATAGACCTTAGGATTAGGATAAAAGTTCGGCACAACATTGTGGGCCAAAGGCCCTGTACTGTGCTGTACTGTTCTATGTTCATCTTAAACTTGTGACCTCTGATCTTTTACACATCTGCAGTGGGGAAAAGATTCTCTGTCTATGCCGGTCATAATTTTGTATACTTCAATCAGATCCCCCCTCAGCCTCTTCTGCTCCAAAGGACACAAACCCAGCCTCTTCTTGGTGAATCTCCTCTGCACGCGCTCCATGCAGTCAAGTCCTTCCAGTAGTATAGTACCAGAACTGCACACAGTACTCCACCTGTGGCCTACCAATGTTTTATCAAGTTGTAACAAGACTTGCTTGCTCCTGTATTCTGTGCCTTGGCTAATGAAGGCAAGCATCCCATTTGCCTTCTTCACCACCCTGCCTGCCTGTGCTGACACCTTCAGGGATCTATGGACTTGTACACCAAGGTCTCTTTGTTCCTCAGTACTCCCTAGGGACCTACCATTCATTGTGTATATTCTTCCCTTATTGGACCTTTCAAAGTGCATCACCTTGCACATATCGAGATTAAATACCATCTGCCATTCCTCTGCTCAATTTACCAGCTGATCAATATCAGGTTGTAGCCTGAGAACCTCCTCCTCACTATCAACAACATTACCAACTTTTGTGTCATCTGCAAACTTACTAATTATACCTTCTTCACATCCAAGTCATTAATATTCATTAAAAAAAACAACACGGGTCCCAGCACCGATCCCTGTGATACACCATTGGTCACAGGATGTGCGCATGTTACTAGAGAATGCTGGACCTGCCTTTCCATGGCATGTGCCAACCTACCAAGGGTCTTCACAACATGAACTCCTGCAGCTTCTGGGCACTGAGGGTCATTGTCTCACAAACCTGTCTGCCGCTCCTGTTCCTCCCAGTGCATATGGATGAAGTCCCTGATTGCCAACTCTTCTGCCTGGCGCTGAGCAGGTGCCTGGTCTCCATGTACCAGCAGCCTGGCACATTTCTTCCTCAGCTGACTGTGGAGCTGTTAGAGTAAGGTCTTCACCAGATTGTTTTCTCACACTTCCTAAGCCCGTCATTCACACTGAGGTGTCAGTATCTGACCTGGTTGTGGTGCAGGAGATCGCCTTTCAATACTCCCTCTGAGGCCTTGGTACTATAATCCTCAGAGGTCAAGGAGGTGACTTCTTGTGGAGCAGGCTGTTACTCTGTTTAGGTCTTTGACATCCCACTGGTACCTGCACATCACAAGAGAGAGAGAGAAGGCGTACCGAGCAACGACTAGAAGTGGTTTGCAATGAATGACACTGATGGTGGGTTATTGTCAGAGTTGCAGTGGAGTGGATTTTACTCGGTTGATAGTCCTGGTTTTCTTCGAGGGACTGGATCGTCTCCTTATGTGGGGCTCGATGCCAGGCACCTCATCACCCATTCAGACTCTTTCTGCCCTATAGTGTGCTTTCATTTCCTGGAAATGGAGAAATGGAGGGACTGAGTGAGATGAAAATGGGTGGCATGGGCAGGTAGTCCTGGTGCACAGCGTTGAATGTGGAGTCCCAGGCAGGTGAGTAAGCACTGCAGAGACCGTGCAGATTTAGTGGCCTGGGATGTTAGGGCATGCTGTTGGCAAGAGTGAGTGAGGGAAGATGGCATAGGCATGTTGGTGAAGGTGGCAGAACACAAGCCTTGGTAGGTGATAGTTTCAGTAGCAGAGATAGAGTGAGTGTGAGGTGGCAGAGAGAAGAGTGTGGCATTTAGACTGGTGGATGGAGAAGGCCATTGATCTTCTTGTGCCACTGCTAGCTGTCCCTCCAGACCATCTAAACCGCACTAGTCTGAGTGGCTGCCTCAGACCAAGCTGCCAGAGTCTTTTTCTGAAGAAGAGTCTAGGCCCGAAACGTTAGCCTTCCTGCTCCTCTGATGCTGCTTGGCCTGCTGTGTTCATCCAGCTCTGCACCTTGTTATGCCAGAGTCCGGTGCTGTTTGCTTCCCTGCTGGTCCTCTGGGTAGAGGACACCATCCTCTGGACCATCCCCTCCACCACCTCCATGTCCCTGGCCAAGAATCATGGTGCAATCTTCTCCTTCTCTATCTCCAGCATGAAGGCATCTCAAATATGGTGTGGGACGCAGGGATGCTAATCTTTTGGCAGATATCTGTTGAGTGGCAAGTTGCTTCGAGAATAGCTTGTGTTAAGATGGCAGTCGAATTGGATGTGAAGGATGCTATAGGGGTGGAGTAGGTTGTTGATGAAGTGAAATCGGTAGGACATGACGAGTAATTTCCCATGGTCTCATGGCAAAAAATCTTCCAAAAGAATTCAATGCAACAAGCAATTGGCCAAAAAAAGGTGTAAGAATCAGCCCTATATCTTACTGGTATCTCTTTACCACTACACCAGCTGGCAGTAAAAAAGGCTCAACCAATATTCACTTGTCTCAATGCACACAGACAACGAAGGTCATCAGCTCAACTGGGACAAAGTGACTCTACTGGGTCAAGCGAACAACAGACGTACAAGGGAATTTCTGGAGGCCTGGTTCTCAACACGGGACTCCATTAACAAACACATAGAACTAGACCCGTATACAGATTGCTGCTAAAACAACAGAAGCAGAAATGACCAGACCCACCACACCAGAGGATCATATAAATGCAGAACAAAGCAGAACACCAACGCTTCGATTAGAGGTAGCACTGGTGAAGTTGCCTAGAATGGTAACCACAGAACAACTGGCTTGGTGAGCAAATGAACAACTGAATATGGAATATTTTATATCATGAAGCTTTGAGTAATTTTATTTTGCCTTCAACGTCACAATTTCTTACTTAAGTAAATTTTATGAGCTAATACCGTTGAATGATGTTCCTTATCAGAAGCCCTACTCAACACTTTGTCATCAAATGGATATCTGAAAAATTACCTGTCACCTGTTCAGCATAAAGATACCCCTCTAAAGTGAAATCTAGGGACCATAGCTATTTTGATATACAGAATGCACCCACTTCACTGAGTTTTTGTCAAACTGCAGGGCTACTAGGGCTAAGTGGGCTAGTTCTTTTCCCGACTCATGAAGCAACCATATCCACAAGTAAATAACCTAAAATTGACTGTACTGATCCAGAAGACATGTTTCTCCTTCACTGTTGCCTGTCTTGTATTGCCATTGAACTGAATGGCTCACCAGGCCATTTTGGAGAGCAGTTATGAGCCAACCACATTCACTTGTTTACAGAGTAAGTGGTATGTTCCTACCTTCTTTGTGCAACATGTTATCCTCTCCAATTGCATGGAATGGCTGACCTCTCAGTTGAGGAATACTTTGAATGCTCTGCAAACAATCATTGTTTTTTAACCTCTAGTAAGGCAATGGTTTGTCAAAAGCTTAGTTACCTAATCATGTTAGCAATCTTGAAGCTTGCATACAGGCCACTATTGACAATATTACCTCTTATTTTACTCTATGTGAGTACCTGGAGATGGCAAGCTTTAAAGAACTGCCTGTTTATAAGGACTGTGTGACAAAATGTTTACAGCACTGTACCAGCATTTTATGGCCTCCAGTCTCTGATAAGTAACAAATGTCTTTATTGTAATATACATGACTAATAACAAGCAATGCAACACCCTCAAAGCACAGATTTCCAACCTTAATATCTGTCTTTGGGGGTAATGGTGAGCTAACTGCAGATATTCTGCATACCCCTGTCCCTTGAAAATGAAACATTGCCTTTCGATTTGTCTGCAGGTTTGTCAGGAGATTCAAAACATTTGATAGTCGAGTAAGACAAGCAAATGATATGTTTTGTCAGTGGGTGGTGACTCCCATTTACTCCACAGTAAAGCTTCTTGTTTAATTTGCAAATGAAGCTTCGTGCTGCGAATAGAAAAAGCCTCTTTAAGGCCAGCCATTGAATGGAAAGTGGAGTGTTTTTGTATATAACATTCTATGTGGCTGTACAACATTCTCCTTTTAACTGTCTGTGACTGGCTAAGCTCGGAAAAATAGATGCAAAGTCAAGTCATTCACTGCTGTATCTTTTCAGTTTTATGTTTCTGCTTTTTTGAAGGAAAAGCAGAGTGGGAACATTTGTACTTTTATGAACTATGCAAATTGACCAAAGTTTAGATAGTTAGATTATGCCCTTTTGCTTAAAGAATTGCTTTTCAGTATTAAAGCATTTCAGTACTAAATCAAAAGTCACACAAAACCAAGTTATAGTCCAACAGGTTTATTTAAAATCACAAGCTTTCAGAGCGCTAATTCTTTGTCAGGTGAAATGATTTGGTGTCATGTGACTTCTGACTTTTTTCACCCCAGTCCACCACTGGCATCTCTATCGTGGCATTTCAGTGCTGACTTCTTATTTCGGCCAATTCTAGTGGATGCAAATCCAGTATTTCAGAGTCACTACCGATGATTGAGAGCAAGGCACTTTGCATGTGCCAATGGGTTTTGCAGTTTATAAATTATGCCCAACAACTTGCTTTCCTGTAACAATCTGCATGTGTGGAAAGGTATGTCAGGTTCTTTTGTATTTAGGGAAGGGAAACATATCATTGTTTAACAGGAGAGCCACAAAGTGAAAAAGACATGATGGTAGTCTGAAGAAGAGGGTTTTTGAGGATGTGCTTTCTGACGTAATGGGAAGTAATGAGATGGAGGGACTGAAATGCTTTTGCTGTGTGGTTCTGCATTTCACAGGGCATTATATATCTCCACGCAGAATAAAAACTTGGTCAGGAAGTCCACCTAACGAAAAGCCAGCTGCCCTCAGCTATTTTGCATTCAGCGGGTGTTAATTGGCTTAAGGCAGGACTGCTGTCCCCATTTGGGGAAGAAGTGCTGCTTTAGAAAGCTGCTGGCCAATCTGATAGCTCTGTCATCCCACCAGGGTCAGGTATAAGCGGTAGCCACTGCTGGGACTATATCCAGAAGTTGAAGGTTATGGATGCTGTAAGCTTTGTTTAGTTTGTTCATGGGACATGGCTGTTGCTTTCAAAGCCAGTATTTCTTACCCATTTCTAATTGCCTAGAGGGCCATTTAGAGTCATCCACACTGCTGTGGGTCTGGAGTCACATTTAAGCCAGACCAGGTAACGATAGCAGATTTCCTTCCCTAAAGAACAATAGTGAACCACAACAATTGACAGTAGTTACATATTCTCCATTAAGCTAGCTTTTGATTCCAGATTTCTTAATTAAATTGAAATTTCACCATCTGCCATCTTGCACTTTGAATTCATGTCACCAGAATAATAGCTGGGGTTCTGGATTTCTCACCCAATGATACTAGCTCCTGGACTGAAGGTAAATCGAGGGTATCGCTGGGATTTGGCCAACAGACTCCAGCAAGGGAAATGTTTGAGTGATCAGGGCAGGAATTAAAGGAGGATTGACTTTGCAGGATGTCTCTGACAGACAGAGAGGATACCTGAAGTAGATTCCCCGTGGTCACTTGGAGACATAGAGTCATAGAGATGTATATCACTGAAACAGACTCTTGGGTCCAACCCGTCCTTGCCAACCAGATATCCTAAATAAATCAAATCTCATTTGCCAGGATTTGGCGCATATCCCTCTAAACCCTTCCTATTCATATACCCATCAGATGCCTTTTAGTTGTACCAGCCTTCACCGCTTCCTCGCAGCTCATTCCATACATGCACCACCCTCTTGCATGAAAAAGTTGCCCCTTAGGTCCCTTTTACATCTTTCCCTCTCACCTTAAACCTATGCCGTCTAGTTTTGGACTCCCCCACCCCAGGGGAAGACCTTGTCTTTTTACCCTATCCATGCCCCTCATGATCTTATAAACTTTTATAAGGGCAACCCTCAGCCTCTGACGCTCCAGGGAAAGTAGCCCCAGCCTGTTCAGCCTTTCCCAATAGGTCAAACCCTCCAACTCTAGCAATATCCTTGTAAATGTTTTGTGAACCCTTTCAAGTTTCACAACATCCTTCTTATAGCACAGAGACCAGAATTGCACGCGGTATTCCAAAAGTGGCCTAACAATGTCCTGTACAGCTGCAACATGACCTCCCAACTCCTATACTCAATGTACTGACCCATAATAAAGGAAAGCGTACCAAACGCCTTCTTCAATGCCCTATCTACCTGTGACTCCACTTGCCTGACTGCAGCTCACCAATAAGAACTGATGGGCACGCACTCTACCTGGCTCTTCTCGCCACAAGTAAAATAGCAACAGGAGAAGGGTGACACACTTGTTATTGTTAATCTTCTACACAGAAGTCATTTACTTGACGCCTTAAGAGCCTCAAAAGACCCAAGGATGGGCAAGCCATCTGGCACTTCCACTCTTCCCACGAAATTGGACTCACCAGGTCAGGAGTGAGTGAGATGGCAGTGAGCAGGCCGCACATATTTTATGCATTCCCTCACCTTAAAACATACTGATTGGCAGGGGACCATAGCATCCAGTTAGTCATCATTGTTCCAAAGACATACAAGAGAAGGAATTTAAACATAGCAAGGTCACACAAGCAACCATGTAAGGGATAGCCACTTAACCAGATTTAGTGATGTTGCATGAAAAGTTAATTTGGCCATTTCAAATACTGCCATTATATATATTTTTATGTCAACCTGAGTAAGCTGGTCAGGGTTAGATGGAAGAGTCTTGGTTTAACAATTCATCCAAGCAATAGCATCTCCAAAAGAAAACCCAATTCACTCTGCAATTAAGTATCTGTCCAGTTTGTGTTTGAGCCTAAGGGTAGAATTCAGTGTAGGTAATGGACATCTTACCCACCAGCTGAAAAGCTGATCAGAGCCCTTTGTCATCTCCTTTTCAGAAGATTTGCTTCTTTAAGTGTCAGTCAGGCATTTGGCTGGGCAGCAGTGGGCCATCTCCTGGATAAAGGACACCAGAGGTGATAGTCCCATCTGTCGAGAACTGCTGGTTTATTAGATGCCAGCATCTCTTCACTGCTTGGGATTGCCAAGAAACCTGGGCCACAACTGTGTCAGGATGGTGGCTGCCAGTGCACTCCCCTTCTCTTCCTGATGACAGATCCCTTGGATCCTTTGATCAGGCACTGTGTCCTTCGAATGAGGGACCTTCCCCTGGAGATTAAATCCATAACTGTCTGGCTCAAAGCCAAGGCTACCAGCAAGACAAGCCTAAGATGGACTTTTAAGCAAGCATTAGAAGAGAAGGCAGGAAATGTTTATACCTTAGGAGAGTTGCGAGGATATGGAAATTGGTGGTCAGAGTTAGTATGTCAATGTTACAGTGTTGATTAAGCACAAAGAACTGAACATATGGGTAAATATATTTTGTGTCATTTTCTCATGGGGGTGAAGGGCTGATATGGACTTAGTAGAATGGGTTTTGATGGCGTGACATATATACTATATATACCTTATATTTTAATACATATGTGATTAATTTTCATTAGGGCAGAATACTAGGGGCTGTTAACCTCAGTATGGATCATTTACCTACAGTAGGGGAAAGGTGGCAAGAGTGACTTGGAGGAAAATGAGTACAAACTATTAAATAAAGAATTTTGGTTTTGATTTC